GTTTATCCCTGCCTAGACAACTGGCTTGTCAAGGGCCAGTCCAAACAGCAAGTGCAGAGCAGTGTTACCCTGAGTCAACAGTCAATGCTCAGTATTCAATGCTCTGGGACTGTTAATCAACACAGAAAAATCTCTCCTCTCCCCAGTCCAGAGAATAGAGTTTATAGGGGCTTGTGGGTAGGTGGCAGCATCTCCCACTTAGTGGTTAGGGCCCCAGGAGGCCATTACACTCAAGGGTTCATCTCTAGTGACATCCTTGTCTCGTGGGTGCAGTCCACAAGTGGCAGCCCTGCCTAATGGGTTCAGTTCTTGAGTGGGGTAGGGGAACCCAGGCTCTCCCACTCCACCGGGTTCCGACCCAGGACCCTGGGAAGCTGGTTCAGCTTTGCCCACCCTGTGGTATCTTGTGCCAGCCTCAAGTCAACTTCCCTGGGTTACTTTATACCTCCCTCTGCATCCTAGCCGGCCACTGTCCATCCCTGGGGCATGATGCCTTCCAGACTTCCTGCCTTACTCCCAGTCTCTGGGAGCTGTAGCTCCCTCCCCCTCCATTCCCTGGCTGGGTGCAGGATCAGGTCACGTCCTTCTCTGGAGTTCCCAGAGCATGTCCGTCTCCCTGGCCTGCCAGCCCCCATTGAGCTATCTGGCTGCCTTTTAAATCCCACCTCCAACTCGAGCATGCAGGGCTGTGCTGGATTAAACTCAAACCAGGGCCTTTCTTCCAGACTACAAATTCCAGGCAATTTGATCAACTGTCATAGGATTGAAGCCTCATCTGGTCTCAACAACACAAAACTGTTTGAGGCTTCTGGGTCACATGGCCTCTTGCATCTATGTGGTTCATCAAACTAGATTGCAATTCAGAATTCTGCAGGGCTGGCTGGCATCAGTTGATTTGCCAAGCCACCATCAAGCCAAGCCCTCACTACTCACCCAGCCACCATGGACTCCATGGTGTGTGTAGGTGTTCCATGTGCCTGCCCACAACCAACTCTCATGCTAGTGACAGAAGCTTTGACCCTGAGATGGAGGACCCAGCTTGGTTTTCTACAGATGCAGGGTCTATGGTCCTCAGAGAACTTAGCTTTACACATCAGGAACTGAAAGCTGTCAGTCTGGCATGCCAAGTATTTCTATCGCAGATCAGGGGAAGCAGTCTGTTACTCCTCACAGACAACATGGCAGCAATGTTTTACCTCAACAAGCAGTGGGGAGCCCACTCTTCTCCACTTTGTCAAGGAGCAACCCTACTCTGGGAGCTTTGTATTGCCAACTCAGTAGATCTAGAAGCATCTTACCTGCCGGGCATACAGAACGACCTAGCAGACCACCTGAGCAGATCATTGACAAGTCACCACATGAGGTCTCTTCGCTCAGATGTGGCCATACACATTTTCCAGCAGTTCGGTTTTCCCCCAGTAGACCTATTTGCGAAAAAATCTAACAGAAAATGTCAGCAGTTCTGCTCCCTATGGGGCCACAGTCCAGATTCCATGACAGAAGCCTTTTTACTGATGTGGTCAGGCACACTCCTCTACGCTTTTCTGCCAGTCCAATTCATTCACAGGTATTGCTAAAAATAAGACCGGACCAGGCCAGAGTCATACTTATAGCCCCAGCATGGGCCCATCAGCAATGGTTCTCCACTCTCCTGGAACTGTCAGTGAAACCTCCAATTTCACTTCCATTGGACTTGGACCTAATCTCCAAGGATCATGGTTGCCTTCTATACTCGAGCCTACAATCCTTTTATTTAACTGTGAGGATGCTCCAAGGCTAGACACTAGGGAGCAGGCTTTCTCAAAAGGCATTCAAGAGATCATGCTACATAGTAGAAAGCCTTCTACAAGAGTGATTAAATGGAGGCATTTGTCCAACTGGTCTCATCAATATGGGGTATTATCATCCAATTATTCAGTTCAACTTATTCTGGACTACTCATTATACCTAAATACCAAGGTTTGGTGGTTAGTTCCATCAAGATACATCTGGCTGCTATTTCAGCATTACATCCTATGGCCAACAATCGCTCTGTTTCTTCAGTGACATGTCCATGATATTTTAAAGGGCTTAGACAAATTATACCCTCAAGTGCAATATCCTGTTCCCCCTAGAATCTAAACCTAGTTACTGTCAAGACTTATGGGTCCCCCATTTGAATAGTTGGCTACCTGCTCTCTGCTGCTTCTGTCAATGAAAGTGGCTTTTCTGGTGACCATTACTTCAGCTAGCAGAGTAAAGGTGTTATAGGTATTAATGTCAGGATCTCAGTCTTTTAAGGACAGTATTTGCCTGCGCCCTCAACTGAAGTTCCTCCCAAAGATGGTTTCCTCTTTCCATGTCAACCAGCCAATTTATATGCCTATTCTCTGCCGCAAGCAGGATACAAGCCAGGAGGAAGAGCGTTTGCATACCTTGGACATCAAAAGAACCTTGGCATTTTACCTAGATAGAACCAGACACTTTCGTAAATCTTCCCAGCTGTTCATAGCAGTGGCTGACAAAGTAAGAGGTCAGTCTCCACCCAGAGAATTTTTTCTTGGATCTCATCCTGTATACGTATATGCTCTGAATTGGCTAATATCACTCCGCTCTTCAGAATTACAGCTCATTTGTTGAGGTCACAATCAAACTCAGTGGCCTTTTTGGCACAAGTTCCAGTTGCAGTCATTTGTAAAGTGGCAATCTGGTGCTTGGTCCACATTTGCATCCCACTATGCTGTGGGTCAAGACACCACAGACGATGCTAGAGTGGGACGAGTTGTTCTCCCATTTTTCTTGAAATAGAATCCAATCCTATCTCCTGTTCTATGGCATGTGAGTGACCAAGAGTGGAATGCACATGTGCAATCACTTGAAGAATTAAAAACAGTACTATCCTGTTCCATAACTGTTGTTCTTCAAGATGTGCTGAACATGTCCGTTCCCCGACTTTCCCTTCTATCCCTCTACATTGGAGTTATGGCAAGAAGGAACTGGGGCCAGGGGCTCTGCCCTTTATACCTGCACACAGCAGCATGAGCCAGCTGGGGAAATTCAAGCTGCCCAACCGGTACTACGGAGGGAAAAAGTTTCTGACAGCTGGGTGCACGGACACCAAGAGTGGAAGGACATCTGCAACGTATCTCGAAGAACAACAATTAAGGAACAGGTTTGAAACCATTTTTATTATGACATGTTCTAATATTTATCTTTCTATCAAGACCTGTTTCCTTGTGACTATTAATTCAACAAGAAAGGTTTCAGAGCCTGCTGTGCTGTCAATGAAAGAACCATATAATATATTCTACAAAAACAAAGTGGTTTTCCTAATCCCCAAATGCTTTCTAATCAATACATTACATTTTCCACACTTCTCATGAAATTGTTGTACTATCTTTGTGTTCAAACCATTAACAACCTAAGGAGAATTTAGGGCACCATCTGGACATGTAAAGAGCCATGAAAATTGATCTCAAATGTACAGATTCATTCGCAGAATCAGCCTCAAGGTTCATTTACTTCCTCCCAAAGTGTATAGGCCTCCAAATTCTCCCTGGCCATGCGGATGAAGTGCTGAATTGTTAACACTTTTGTAGCATCTGTTAAACAGTTCCAGGGATTCAACTTCATTCCACACACTCTGTAGCAGTTTTCTGGACAGAGCCTTGACTACTACAGAGGAGATATATAGAGTAGCCACTTGATCCTTGACCAATGCTTTTAACATTAAGTGCACCTCCTGTCCTCTTAAAATACATCCTTTGCGGGAAGGTGCTTTGTGCATTGGTCCCATTGTAAATTTTTCTAGATCTTTTTTCTCAAGCAGTTTGGACTTCTGTCTTCCTCCCTTTTACCTACACTGTCTCTTTCCTTCATTCCTGTGCTTTACTATTTCACTGTTGTGCTTTAGTGCACATCAGTCACAGATTGTGGGAGATGCTGGGCTCCAGAATGGAAGTTTGGTACCTGATCATTTCTTTTCAGAACATCTGAAACAATCCACCCACACTGGTGATTTACAAATAGGAAAACCAGAAGTAGAATTTAGCCTAACACATGCCCACACTGAAATGACATTTAGTTTGTCTACCAGTTTTGACTCTATTGTTAGGGTTTTGTTTTAAAATCACATCTAAGTGTTTCTGTGGCTTTGGAAGCAATCTTCTGGTGGGCAGAAATAATAGGTATGGTCTCACTCAGAGTTCCCTAGTAACAGTGCTGAACTGCTTCCAATAACTGTGCAGAAAAGGCACTGCCTATAAATCACAGATTAGGAGAGATGTCACTCATGGAAAGGAAATGGTCAGGTTACCTCACCATAGTTATTCATGCCCACTAGCTTGACTGCTGTATTATGCTCTGCTTACAAATACACTTGAACATCACTCAGGGCTTCAGCTAGTGCCGCAGGCAGCTGCATACATTTTTAAGTAAGACAGATTGTTATAGCACGTAGCATAGTTCCCCATGCTGTCCAGTCCAGTTCTAGGCCCCATTCAAGATATCGATTATCATCTATACAGCACTGACTGGCCTGAGATTTGGCTGTCTTAAACCACCAGTTCCCCTATGCCTCATTACAATTACACTCAAGAAGAATACTCTTGCTTTCTGTCACCATGGTTGAATACCAAAATGTGGGGTGGAAGAAGTGGGGTTGGGGTATAAGGCCCTTGGCCCTGAAATTTGTTTCCACTTGGCTTTTTAAGATGTATTTTTATATGCTTTTTTTCATGAAAGACCAAAAAGCTGAGCACCCATGGCTATTTAAATTCAAGTTATGAATGCTCTGCATTTCTGAAAATCACATCCCAAACCTTTTTTTTTTTTTTTTAATCTGGGCATGTTGCCTTCGGCTGTAGCCTGTGGTAGTGTTATCAGTAGTTGAGGTGGAAAGGTGTGGGTTTGATCTTTCTGTCTTTAATTTGTAATATGACTCCATATATCATGATGATTGCAATATAAATTAAAAAAATAAATGTAACATGGCATATTTTAATATACTTGATTTCTTGCAGCTTACAACCCCAGGAGCTCAGAATATGTACGAAAAAAGTACAAGAGGAAACTGGAGCAGTTCATAGATCACTGTGACCTCATCCCCTATTTGGGTACTAAAATGACGCGTAAATACAAAGAACCTCAAAATAGACCTATTGACTTTGATCACAAATTACAGATGTTTTTGTGTCTTAAAGATGTAGATCCAACCTCTGGTTAGTTTGGAATGTGCAATAATGAAATAATTGGGCATTTTCATTGAACTACTGAATTCTGATTAGCTTGGTGAATATACTTATTTTGTACTTCAACTGGTCAAAGGCTTATCCATAAAAGTAATTCTGTTAACAAAGAACGTTATACTTTTATGAATAGATAAAATACTCTGATACGCAGAATTTAGTTATGATTGGCTGGCATAGATTTGATGTAGTTTACTATAGAAACAAATATTTAGTTTAATATTCATATACAATATATTTTAGAAATGAAAAGTAGGGAATATTTTGATCAGCACTGAAATAAAATTATTAAATATTCTGAAACACTTCACTGAATTTTACAATCTTGTTTTTCACATAGTCATTTCAGATATTTTCCTGTCTCTCAGTATGTCAGCATTATTAGTACAATAAATGCACTTTTATTACATGCAATGAAACAAGCTTAAATTTACTTTCAGACCATTGTACAGTCAGAGGCAGTTAGACACATGACTACATTGATTAACTTGTTCTAGATTTTATACCTACCACTATTTCTGATCATTAACAATGTAACCAATCATTTCAAGGGGAAAAAGGATGTTTAAAAAACGTTTGAGAAAAAATGGTCTATAACAGAAATCAAGAAGTTTCAAGATACCAGTGTTTTTAAACATGCCCAAGCAGAATGCTCTTGGAAATAAGTACCTACAGGTGACATGACATCTGACCACAGTAGTTATTGCCTGTACCTTGTATTGTTTCTACCTAGTTCTTTATGTTTGTACAGCCATATTTACAATTTACAGTTTAAGGAGGGTGTGAATGTAAAACTAAAATATTAAAAAAGTTCTCAAAGATCTTTATCTCAGAAAAACACTCAGAACCTATCCGCTCTCAGGCCCGTATCTTTCTGTTTGAAAGGACTTTAAAAAAGCCTAAAAGAGTCCTGTGGCTAGACTAACAGACATCTAGACTGATTCTTGCCTGCATATTTATACCCGCCTCTGGAAATTTCCACTACATGCATCTGACGGAGTGAGTATCCACCCATGAAAGCTTATGCTCCAATATATCTTAGTCTATGAGTTACCCCAGGACTCTTTGTTGCTTTTTATAGATCCACACTAACACAGCTACCCCTCTGATACTTAAACAGCCTAGTTAGTTCTCAAAGCCCAGCTCATGTTTTAGCCGGTTTCTTTCAAGCATTTTCTTTCCACATTTGCTGATTTTTTAAAAATATGTTTTAAATAAGGCAAGAGTTTCTAAACTGTGGGACTAGACTAGCAGGGCGGTGAGCGGGTGCAGAGAACGAGCGACCCCTCCGCTGGCGGAAGGCGGCCGAGGTCCGCGGTGTTGCACTGGCGACGGGTCGGGAAGTGGTGACACGAGTGAGATGGTTACAAGGCGAGGATCGATGCAGGCTGCATGCAGGGGCGGCTCCAGGCACCAAGCACCCAAGCTGGTGCTTGGGGCGGCACCTGGAGGGGGGCGGCGGCGCGGCGCTCCGGCCGCCGGGGAGAGCGGGGCCACAGCAGGGCTCGCCGCCCTCCCCCGGCCGCCGGCGCTCTGGCTGCGGGGGGGGGGAGAGCCGAGCCCCAGCTGGGGCTCGCTGCCCTGCCCCCGGCGCTCTGGCCGCGGGTGGGGGGCGGAG